CCAACTTGGGCCAGTGAAGCAACGTCCTCCACAACTAGACTGAAGAACAAAACGACAGCAACTTGTCTGTTCCCCTTCCCCCAATTCCCCAGTGCTGTTTCCATCCCCCAATTCCCCAATTAAAATCTTAAAAAAAAAAATAGATCCCTCTCCTACTCGAAACTCATCCCTTTCTCACCAAAACAGAAATCTCTACTACGGTTCCTTGTGTTTTCTGCCCCTGACTGATTCTCACCGTGTCCCAGGCCACTCGCTCCCTCACTCATATTTGAGCCATGCTGTCTCTGACTCAGCAGCACATCTCTCGGTCATGCTTTCATTTCGTCCCCATTTTATCAGTCCCCCAAATGAGACTCCTATCCAGCAGTGAGGAAGGTGACTGCTGCTCTCTGATGAAACCCAGTGTCTGCACTCAAGACGAGAGCTGTAATCGCCATGAACCAGAGCTCTGGCAATGGTGTGCTGGTAAGTGTTTATCACGGGCTGTCCAGGGGCAAACAGTTCTGCTTTTTAATGTTTGCTGATTTTTATGGTGTCCGTGTTCCCACCATGGCTAATTTCAAGCTCCAAGGTGGCATCACTGAATGTGGAATTGGCACATGAGGCATGGTCGGCGCCCGAAAGCTGGTAGGAGCTTGGCCCTGCACCCCACAGAAAGGTCACAACAAATGATTTTTCAATTAAAAAATGTCATCTTATTCTGAAGAAAATCTCAAGTAAACAACCTCTGAAGTAAAAAAGACACAAAACTTTTAAGTGCTTTTGAGTGCAGGGAAAGTTATGTGGGAAAATGAAAGAGGTTTTCAAAGTATATAATCTGTTCTCTCTTCAATTTTCCCAGGGACTTTTATTTTTCTCTTTCAAGTAATAATAGGATCATAGTTGATTAGCAGTTTGAGATGCAAACAGGGTCTGCTACCCCTGAGGCATCCAGACATTTGCTTGGTGGGAACCAGTTGCCAGATTAGAGTTCTCATAGTTCCCTCATGACCTGCCAGAAAAGAAAACGAATAATTCCTACAACTCTGATCTCTTGGGGGAATTGTTCTCTATAAGTTTACTTAGTGACTTGACATTGAAGTTTAATAGGCCTCTTGATTAAGGCTCAACACCAACCGTTACATCATTTTCTGTAATAAATTCCTACTGTTTGGATGAGAAAAAACCAAAACTATCTCACTGGGGTTTGCAAAGGAAACATAAGCACTGTTTCAGTTGATTTGCTTAGAGCAGAGTTGGAAGGACAAGATATAAATGTATGAAACAAGTAGTTGATTATAACATAGCAAGAGTATATGGTCCTTCTGCGTATGTGTTCAAAGGCGGTCCAGAAAGCAAGAGTGCAATGCAAGGAGGAGAGTTTTCAGAGGACGCTATCGAGCCACAAAATGCAGATTTGTAATGTGTACTGTGAGCACATGCCCGTGGAATAAACAAAGGAAGAAAATCCATGAGGCAGAAATGAACAGAATGTGGAATTCTCAATAACTCCTTCTCACACTTGCATTGTGTTGTTCCTTGGACCGTCTCTCTCTGATGCGGTGAATGGCATTAGTGGCCATTTGCTCAGCACATATTATGTGTCAGGTTTGGTGCTGCCAGGTGTATTACCACATTCTCTCATTGTGTCCTCAAAGTAACCACGATGGAGGTGCTA